GTTTTAACTTAATTACCTTTTAAAAAATCCCCATCTCCAAATAGAGTCACATTCTGAGGTCTTGGGTGTTAGGGCTTCAACACAGGAAATCTGGGGAATGTAATTCAGTCCATAACAACTAATTTCCTAGAATCTGTTCCTTACCTGTCAAAAGATACCCAGGACTACTTAGTTCACAAAGATCTTGTAAACTTATGAAGCATTCAGAACGTGCACATATGCATGCTATTTCAGCTGACCCTAGAGAGGAGGCGATGCCATTGAAACACTGATTTGTTCAGCACACATGTGTTTAGCACCTTTTATGGGGCAGCTGCTGGGCCAGAACGTTACATAGATCTCATTTCAGTCCTCATAATGTCCAACAAGGAAGGGATCATCATTATGTCTGAGCTCCGGTGATGGAACTGGCCTAAGGTCACACAGCTGACCTTTGAACTTAGATCCAAATTCCTTCTGCACCCACGAACTGCAGTCACCCCCAGAACGATGGCCTCAGCCACTCTCCTCGCCTCTTTTCTGTGAACACTTTCACTGAACCGAGAGTTAGAAGAATTTCCCTTTATTGCAGCCTTCCTCTGATGCATCAATACGTGCCTGTATCTGACTCTTCATCCCCTCTTGCTCGTAGAATCCCCCTCCAGACTTACTTGTGGGTTCTCCCTGGCTGGTAGTTTTCTCTCTGGTGGGTGGTTTTCTAATACTAAAAGTGAGACTAAGGGTTCATGAAACAAGGGGCTTGAGGCACACAAGATACCAAGCTGCTGAATACAACAAGTCCTAGGCCTTTATCTGAGGAACAGAAAGAGAATCTGGCCAGGAGTCTCTGCAGGTTAGGTGAAAGGGAATATAAAGTAAAACCAAACAGCCCTGGGAAAGAGGAAATGGCCAAGTTGCTTCTCACATATTTAGAAAGTTCTGGGGCTCTTTCTAAAGGACTCTGCCAGGACTTCCTAGCAGCAGTTGGTTAACTCTTGCTGCCTGTTTTCCAGTGAACACAACATCTGGACATAAATGTAAAGCTTGCAATGGAATTTACAGTCGTAAGAGTGTTTGTGAATAGACAGTTCAACACTCTGGAAGCTTCCGTCCTAAGCTCCACAATTTGTACTAGCACTCCACAACACTTCGTACTTCCTGCATCCCCCAGAATAGGGTGGGAGTTTTAAGAGAGTCATTTTGAGGCCCAGTGGCTATCAGGAAATTAACAGAAGTGCTTCCTCATTCATTTTTAGGGACGCTGGGAGTGATTCCCTAGCTTAAATCCAGGTTGGGTTTGTCTACTAAAGATAACAGTAAAGTTGTATAATCTGAAATAAACGTGGGGCTTTGCAACAGCCTCCTCATGAGGGTGTGCCCCATTGCAACCACGTGCTTTAACCACTGCTTTCTGCTCCTGGCTCCTGGCTCTATAGTTTACCTCGTCTTACTGATGTGCCCCAAATCTTCTCTAAGCTACTCCTTAGATGCACCTAAATCTACCACTGAAACATCAGTAAAGAAATGTAGTTTGGTAAAAACCAATGAAGAATATATATTTACCCCTTTCATTGGCCATTAGGAATTTATTTCCAGTTAAACAAGCTGGGAAATGTAATTAGGCACATGGCTGATGGTGATAGTCAAGTATGCATGCCAGAAAAACAATAGGTTCTTTAAAGATGCCAAGGACTGATATTATGCATCTTATCTTGGAAACTATACACTTCACAGTTCTGAGCCTCCTGTGAGGTGCCTCATATCTTCAATCAAATTATTATATTCCAGAAATATGCATAAGGGAAATGATTCTACACATTTTATGGTGGGTTGTTGCTTGTAGCAGTAATTGAAGTACCTTTTCCACTTATGAAAGTACTAATTTTATTTGTTTTTATTGCTTTTCTAGATGCAATTATTTATTTAGTGTGCTTTGGCTTTATTAAATTATATTTACTATAGGAACATCATAAAAATGTATGAAAACAACACATCAGCCAAGCTAGCCTGGTGACCTGTATTGAGAGAGCTAGTGTTATTTTTCATATCCAAACATAATGGAATAACTTAAGAATAAACAGATAATCTACACTAGAAAACAATGCAATTTCAAGGTAATGTAATAAAACACCTGGACAATATGATTTCATAAATCTTGGTGCTAAAATTTACATGAGTTGGGTTTTGTGTGCTTATTTGAGGACACATGACATTTCTAAATGGAATCATTATAATGGGAAATGTAATTAAACCAAAAAGCAAGAATGTAAACAGGGTTTTTGTTGCTTGCAAGATATGGATGACTAGGAAGCAATGTAAAGACTTTTGGTGTCAAAAGGCAAGCAGAAGGCTCTCGTCCCTATAAATGATCTTAACTTTGAAATTGAAAAATTGCTAGACAATTTGTCTAGGTCACTTGGCAGTCACCTCCAGCAGAGGTGCTGGCTTAAGGAAGTCTTTGTAATTCTTTTTGTCTGTTACTTCCTGTGCCTTTTAGGGTGCATCACCTCAAAAGAAAAGAAGTGTTTTGTTTTCGGCATTCTTTTTAAGAAACTCCAATTGAATGCAGATGGTTTACTTGTTTGCAATGGAAACCAGATAACCAGGAAAGAGGCATACACACTTTGAAAAAAAAAAAGGAAATCAAACAACACCAAACCAAAGCCGAAAACAGAAAAACCCTAAGTCTAACATCCTAGATTATAAAGAGCAGGGCTGCTTAAATGAAAGGACTGCGTGGCTATACATTCATGACCAATTTTTATTTTTCTAATTATGGATTAAAATTGATTAATTCATTGTTTAAATATGTGTGCCTACTGCAAAATCCAAATGGTAACAACAAACATACACAGTAAAGGCTGGGTCTCCCTGCAGATGCTCAGGTTACGTCCCTAGAAAGGGCCATGGTTGATGTGCTCTCCGTTTTCTGAATGAGTGCCAAGAGTTCCCAGGATTTTCTGAGTATGTAAAATATGTACCCGCCTATTTACTTACATACATGCATACATGCATATCTACATGGGATATGATAGTGAAATATGCAGTACACATATAGCTTCCTTCTTCATTATTAAAGACTGTACCTTATATTGCATCATACGAATACCCCCATCTCCTACGGATACCTATTTAAGTGTTTACAGTTGTTTGCTTGTACCAAGAAAGGCTCCCACTCGTAGAATAAGAGAGACCTGTATGTTTTGTCAACCTTTTGTTTTTAATGTTTGGCAACTTGAAAGACAAACAAATGATGTCTAAGCGTGACTTTAAGTCTTGGTTTTCTGATAATGAGGGGGTGAGTATCATTTCATCTGTGTCTGAGATGCTTGCATTTTTCCTTCCCATGAACTGCTGGTCTGTCTGTTGTCCTTTGCTGAATTTGCTAGTGGGACCCTGGTTATTATCTTTGTTGAACTGCAAAGCCCTTTAATATGAGCAGTAAATATTTTCCTCATTTTTTTTCAGTTGTCCTTTGATTTTATTTGGAGACTATTTTGCCATATGTAGCATGAAAATGTACACATCTTTTTTCCATTAATCCTAGGTTTTGTGTCATATGTCAAAATAACTTCCATATTTGAAGACTTATTTTTTTAAAAACCCTCCATCTGTTTTCTAGTAGTTTGATAGGCTTACTTTCCACATTAAAATTTTTAATTCATTTGGAATTAACCTGAGGTTAATGATATAAGGATGGATTTTCTTTTTTCTCAAATGGCTGTCCAAGTATCCCAACAGCATTTATTGAAAAATAATGTTTGGGTTTAATTTTTAATATCACTAGATTTGGATAGCCAATTATTCTTTATTTTAATAATGTTTCTTAATCACATTAAGAAAATATATGTCTACACCTACTTCATTCAAAAATTGTTTTAAACAAAAGTGTGTTTTTAATTTTATTAAGTACCTTTCTGGCATCTATAATCATATGCTTTTCTCTTTTGATCTATTACTATATGAATTATATTAATAGACTTTTTCATATCAAACCATTTTTGCATTTCTGGAAAAAATCAACTTGAATATGATTATCTTTTAATGTACTTAATTATCTCTGAGTAAATTTAACTGAAAATTTGTATTAATAAATGATACTGCCCTTCCTTCTTTCCTTCCTTCTTTGATGGTACAGTCAGATTTCCTAGAGTTAACGTTTATAATTTCTATTTTTCTGGAACATTATGCATTTTATCCTGTATTTAAAAAGATTTTTCAATATATTCAGCAAACTAGTCTTCTTAAAAATTTTTTAAATTTCCTTCATTTAGTTTATGCCTGTCTTATTTTTTTTATTTTATTCACTTATGCTTTTTCCCTTTTTATCTTGATTATTTTTCAGTTTATCTGTTCTACTGGTGATTTGTACAGTCTGGGTTTATTTCTATGAGGTTCTTCCTTCTGCTTTTCTTTATTTTGTTCCTCTTTTTCTAACTCCTTGTGTTGGAGGCTTGACCCACTTAATTCATGTTGTTTAGCATAAATATTTCAGGCTATGGTTTTCTCTTAGCACTGCTTCAAACATAGGCTTTAGGTTCTGGCAAGGAATATTTTCCTTAGCATTATTTTCAAGATATTTTGAAATTTTAGTTTTATACCAAGCCATTTACAAAAATTTCTGGGTGGTGGTATTCTACTTTTGTTACTAATTTCTAGGATTCTTTTGTTTCTGTCTCCACCTTATATTACTCTTTTGATCAGAGACTGTTAGTTACATTATTTTTACTCTTCAGCAGTCAAGTTTTCTTTTAGCCTTGTGTTGAGTCATTTTTGTGAGTGTTTCATGTCAACTTGAAAGCAAATCACAGGATCTTGCTGCAGAACATAGTGCTCTATAGAAGATAGTGAGCTCTATCTTATTAATTATGTTAATTATTTATGTAGCCCCTTAAATTTCTTGTCCTCTTATTCCTCTTTGAATCCCAAAATGCTATGAACATGCATACTTGATGAATGAATGTGTGATGTAGAACTCCTGTGGTCAGCTAGAATTGTGTTGTCTTCTTTTTCTCTTATAGCCAAAGATTGCTGAGGAAAACTTAACGTATGCTGAGCTGGAGCTGATCAAACCCCACCAGGCTGCCAAAGGCGCCCCCACCAGCACTGTCTACGCTCAGATCCTCTTCGAGGAGAACAAACTGTAGCACCGCATCCTCCTCTGAGGTTCTGTTTAATACCTGCCGCCCAGTTATTTATGAAGCCTTGGAGACAAAGCCCTTATTTCTGTATTTTCACTTGTGCCTTCTGAGTGGTGGGGAGCCCCTTTTCAGTGGCATTCTGGGTGACTTCGAATAGGTACAAGACTGCTCTCCCACAAAGAATAGGGGCCACAGCCCTTGGACAGATCTCCCAGGACAAGATGTGCCTGGGCTGGAGCCCTGAGCATAAGGACTATGATTCTGAGACCAGCCAAGGAGATTTTCTGCTGAGCCAAACCCCTTCCCATTTTCCCCCTCTTTCCCCAGGTTTTCTTTAAAATTATTTTTAAATCTTAATTTTACTCTCTACTCTTCCTGTATCCATGATACAAGCTCATAGTATATAGCTAGAGGAAATGCCATTATGGACCCAACTGTAAGATGGCTCAGATGTTGGTTTTCCAAGGATCAGATGGCATTGCAATTTGCTGATCATTTCAATCAGCAAACTGCTGATTGCCAGCACCGCCCGAGATGGCATCTCTTGTTTTAAATAGATGCACTGACCGTGGGGATTCAGGCCAGAGGGACAGACTGATTAGAAGTGTAAGGTCTGTCTCTGAATGCCATGGTGCCCACCTGAGACCCTGAGGCCACAGGACAAGAAGAACACCATTCTAGAGGGCTTCCATCCCTTCCGCAGGCTGGACCTGTATTGACAGGGAAACATACTCTCTAAGAAGTGCTTACTCACCCTTTTCCAAAGGAGCAGAGATGTTGGCCATCGTAGACGCAGTGGAGCACGTGGGCCTCTTCACTGTGTGCCAAGCTCAGCCACCTCTGAGTCAGCACCCACTCCTGTGAGAGGGCATCTGCTGCCAGGTGCCCTCAGGGTAGGAGAGTGGGAGGTACACGCCGAGCTGGAAAGTGTGTTCTGAAGACCCTCCTCTTGCCAAGTGCCTTGCCCATCACAACCTTGTGTGTGAATTCTAATGGGTTTGAATGGGGGTCGGGGGCGCATGGGGAAGTTGCTCTGTGGACCTGTAGGACACAGGAATCTCGGACTGGCTGGCGGGGCATCCATTCTGGAAGCACCATCCCGTCAACTGCATTGCTGAGGACATTTCCTGATGTGTGAGTGCACTCTGGGTGGCCATTTACTGCACACTATAGAAATTGTTTGACTATGTAGTGGACCATGTACATATGATAAATTATCTATTTTAAACACAGCTGGGGTATGAGTTGTGCCCTCTATATAGCCGTGTGATCTTGGCTGACTTTCTTATCCCCTAATGGCCTCAGACTCCATGTTTGTGTAAAGATGACTTAACCTCCCATAGAATTCTTGAGAGTAAAATGGGATAATGAATCTTGCCAGGTTCTAGAAACTGTAAATTGCTACACAAATGCTCTGTGTTGACATTCATGCTAAAGCCAGTCTGCATTTTCAAAATGAAAATTTCCTCACTATTTAAGGCTTTCATTGCAATAACTTTAAAAAGCAAATATTTGTTCACCAACTTAGCCCTATGGTAATGTTTCCAAAGACTCATGAGAGCTTATGGTTTATTGGAAAGGGTCCAAATTGGAAGCAGATATTGATTTTCTGGGAGCATACTCGTCTGCCTTTACAAAGTGGAAATTCACCCTCTCTGAATGATACCTGTGTCTCATTCCTCCCTCTCTGCTAGATCTCAAAGTCAGCAAATAAACCATGCAGCTTTTGAGGAAGAAAGACCCATTTGGAAGAACTCACTAGAACTTTCTGAGCATCTCTTTAGGAGGGGAGGATATATGGTTAGCACATCATTTATGTCATAATTATCACAGGGATTTTTAGTTTTATCTTGACAGTGTTTTGACAGATGTATAGTGTTTTGAGGGCAGAGGGTGATCTCCTTATTTGCCCAAAGAGCCTTATGGGTTAGTGGGGCCCTGGGGTTGCCAAATGGAAAGGAGAGGGGGCACATGAAAAGGAGATGGTGGGGAGAGGGCAACAGGCCAGGGAGTAATATCTTCCCAGACCCCTTAGGTCTCTGCAGAACGGAAATGAACTCCAGTCACCCCCAAACCCAACCACTTAAATCCAAGGAGAGCCTAGGGTTATCATACAGGGGCATTCTACCAAGAAGAACGCATGTTGTTAAGAGCTGGTAGCTCCCAGTTAGAGTCTAACCAGTCACTGTTATATTATAGATTGAGTCCAGCGTCTTTTTCCCAAACTGTGGTCATCACTGCATGAATCCACACTAAGTTGTATGAATGGGGAGCTGCAGATTATCCCCTCCTACTGAAAACACTGTCCAGGGGAATCATGGAAGCTATGGACAGCATCCAGGCAGAGCTTGTCCCACTGTTATCTCCAGAAGCAAACGTCCAAGCTGTGCTCAGAACTGGAAGCAACGGATGACTTGTATCTGGTGCTTGTTTGAGATGATACATTGACATTATTGCCATAGTAAGCTTTAAAAAATGTGAGCACTCATTCATTCTTTATCCACGGTCCATTAATCATGCATTGTCATTTCCAAAGATAAGGGGAAACATATCATATATCGGTGAAATAGAAATTAGGGAAAGGTCATCAATCTGTTTTTAGTATAAGGCATCAATGATAGAAATTATATATGAGTAATTTTCAAAATGGACCATTGCTTATATGTTTAAATGAAGCTAAAACAAGTGTGAACCTGTTGCTCAGAGTGCATTGTCTTCCTTCAGGCAGAGAGAGCAGATGCTATCAGATTTGGTGGTGAGTTTTAGGCCTTGGCATGGTTGGCATGGAGTCATCACAGGAAGCCGGGAGGTGTGAAGGGGCATCCACTTAGGTGACACTGTCTTGCCAAGCCAAAGCCCCGAGGCCTGTGCTGAAGCAGCTGTAGTGGAGGAGAGGCCTGGAATTCCTTAAGGTCCCCTCTTTATAAATGCACCACCACTGTTAGCTCATGGGGAAAATAAGGAAAAGCCAGGCCCTCCCACCTCCGAACTCTTGTGAGAGTGAAAACAACATGGGACACTTAGAAAATACATTTTAATGTGGGATAATGTGGGCTGGCCCACACAGCAATAAGCCCAAAGTTCCTCTCACTTTGGAGATTATTCATGGCCCTGCTCATCACAGCCTCTGATATGCATGACTGTAACCTAGGCTGAGCCAAGAATGGAGCTCATGCCAGAAATGGTCCCAAGCATGCACGTGACCATCTGGAATCATCAGAATCCTGAGGAGAAAGAAACCATCTTTGCCTTGGGCAGTGAAGCTGGAGTGACAGAAATCATATCTGTTCCCATATCTCCTGCCTAGCAGAGAAGCCTTGGAAGGCAACAGAGACACTGAGCAGGAAGCAAGGAACAGACTGTCCTGGAAGGGTAGGACTCCAGCCTGAGTCCCTAACATCCCCGGACTCTTCTCTTCCGTAAACTCTCTAATTACCCCACTGTTTAAATCCTGGTTTTGGTCTAGCTAGTCAGGTGGCAACATAAAGAATCTGAATAGTGTGTAGTGCTCCCCTCCCTTTGTCCATGTGCTCTCATCGTTCAACACCCGCCCATGAGTGAGAACATGCGGTGTTTGATCTTCTGCTCCTCTGTCAGTTTGCTGAGAATGATGGTTTCCAGGTTCATCCATGTCCCCACAAAGGACCCAAACTCATCGTTTTTGAT